CATGAAATCCATTGGTGATAGACTAGACAGACAGGAGAAAGCAAAGCGAGGATACTTCTGGGATTGGATAAAAAGTAAACATGATAATGAAGGAATTTGTGGTATCTGTCCTGGCACCCAGCACATTAGGTTATGCCCAAGGGGTCCAGAAAAAGGGAACTTACAAGTTACCTAGACATTTCAAAGGGTATCCTATCTAATAAAGAGGGGATATGCTAATTGACCATCATGCCCTCAAAGATGGCTGTGCCCACAGCCACAAAATGCAGCATCCAGTCCCCTCAGCCCTGTTGGGTGGCAGGCACATGGCAAGGCTGGGCATCAGGTACCCCAGTTCCCTTATCCCTCAGCAGTTCAGGGCCAGCCTGAAGCACAGGCAAACTTTGGATGTCAGCTGCTCTGCTGATGCCAGAGGCACAGGCAAGCCTCAGATGTGGGATGCCCAGCCACCCAGGGTGGGCCTAAGGCGCAGGCAAGCCTCAGATGTTGGCTTTCCAGCTGCCCAGGGCTGCTTGAGGCTCAGGTAACCAGGGCCAGCTGAGGCTTGTGCTGTCAGCAGTGGCAGCAGCAGAGGTGTGATGGGGGTGTCACCTTCCCCTGATCATCAGGTCACCTCCCACCCCTGAGGGCTCCTGGACTGTGAGGGGGGAGAAGAAGCTGAGGGACCCTACCTCTAGTGCATAAATGTTCATGCACCAGGCCTCTAATGTTATTATAGATGCAAAAAGACAGATAGGCTCAGTTAAAGTAATGTTGACCTTGTCAGTGAAGATACTGGCCTAGGAGGTGACTCGCCACCATAATTGCTTTTAGTTAAAGTTTAATTTTAGACCATCCTTTGTGGTTACTTTAGGTCTCTGAGTCTGCAAGGCTGCTATGCAGGCCTTCCCTGAGCCTGTCAGGTTATCATGTGGTTCCTTTCATCCACGATATCATGGATTCATGTTGTTGCTGTGTTACACAGACTTTGTAGTAAATGAAATGTATAGTAACAAGGCAATATCTAAAATGCTATTAATAGTGTGAGTCAATAGCAGTGATTGGGCACCCACTAGCTAAAGAGCTCTGTTCCAGGCTCAGTGAGAGGAGGGAAGACCCCCAAAGGAGCAGAGGTTGTTACTAAGAGCCTTGCTAAATGGTTGTTGTCTATTCCTGCAGTGACTTCAGAAAACTCACTCAATAATGTAACCCCCATAGAACAAATGAAAAGAGCTGAGGATATAAGACACAAGGATAAGAAGATGAATTGCCTGTGTCAGTCACTTGAATGCTTTGTAAGCCTTATTCCTGTGAATTTGCCTGATTCCTTTGTTTTAGAATTTGTCTAAACATAGATTTCAATAATCAGCAAGATGACTTTTGAATGTTATCTTGCTGATTATTGCCTATCATTAAGTGTGTTGAGATTAGTTTGGAACTTGTATCTGGAGTTTAATGTAGAGGTGTGTTATGCTGATATTTTATTTCCTGAAAAATATTCAAAGAATGATTTGTGTCTTTCATCAAAGTCATGATAGAGATGATAGAGGCCTAGAACCCTAAAGTGGGGCCTTATAGGTGATTGAGGGCAAAGCTTTCTCAAACTTTATTTATTTATTTAAAAAATATATTTTATTGATTTTTTTTTTTTTAACAGAGAGGAAGGGAGAGGGATAGAGTTAGAATCAGCTGCTTTCTACCCCCCCTCCCCCACTGGGGCTGTGCCTGCTCTATCCACTGAGCCGAACTGGTTAGGGCCGCCCTCTCAAACTTTAATTTTCATGTGAATAACCTGAAATTCTCATTAAAATGCAGATCCTGATTCAGCAGGTTTGGAGAAGTCTGGAGAAGTCTGCAGTTCAGACTTGGAAAAGCAGGATGGTAGAGGACCAACTAGTGACAATTCACTCTGCAACATCTCTGCACCTTTGAATGTAGCTTCCATGAGAACATTCCTAATTTACTCAAAGAACTCTAGTTTTCAATGTAACCTATTTCACTGTGGAAAACTTAAAAACAGTTAGAAAATCTTTATAGTGCCAATACTGTATCTTGTAAAGTTTCTTTCTCAGGGATTTGATTTGCCACTTTTGAGATCATCAGCCAATTCTTATTTGTGGGCCCAAATTAAACCCACTAGTAGACTATCACAAATGGTTGCAAAGGCCATTTTCTGAGGGAGGCAAGCTATGATGGGAGTTTGGGTTTGGAGCTTCTCTCAGTTGCTGGTAGGTTACCTCCCTTTTTTCACATTCCTTTCCTTTTCCCATTTTTCTCTCCTAAAGCCAACACATATCACATGTATATCTTATCATATGTGCACATTAAAACATTTAGAGGGATTCAAGGCCCAGAAGAGTATGTTGTCTGACCTCAATTGGTGATCTGATAAATGTTAAACAGCTGGCTTTGATGGTGGTCGTGTGGGTGGTGGTCCTGTGTGCAGCGTTTTCACATTTGCCAATTTCCACGGTGTAAATACTCCCACCACAAGCTACTTTGAACTACCCATAATTTAACAACCAACATGCAAAAGTCTGAAAATTTAACAGCCAGTAGGAATCTACTCCAGTACAGCTTAATCTGACAGCATTCTAGCAAATAGTTAATATTTACTGAACACTTACTTAGTGTTGAGTTTTATATATGTAAGGCCTCTAACAAAATTAAAATAAGACCCTATTCACTTATTCAAAAACAATTTACTGAATTCCTTTCATACTTGGTGCCAGAGAAATAAAGATGAATGGGAAACAACCCCTACCCTCAAGCAGTTCATGGAGTCTAGTGGGGGAGATATTTAATATATAGACAAATAGATAAATTACAGTGTAACATAGTAAATAATAGAACAGATGGTGATAGTAACTGATTTAGTACCTCTTCTGCGCCCACCTGGGGGTAAGGGATGCTGAAGAAATCCCCCTTTTTTACCTCTTTGCAAAAGTCCATGCTGACCATGCCAAACCATCTTCTGTGGATAAAGTTTATGTAGATATCTTTTAGATTTAATGGATTTGAAGAGCATATCAGTTCCTTAAAAAGAACATTTTTGACATGCATGTTACATTTTATACTTAGAATTGGGTCCAAATTATGTGTCATATAGGCTTTTAAGAAACTATGGAATACAGAGAAGGAACCTTTTGAGAACTGACAATTTACAGATCTCAGGAGTGCTATCCTTATTCAAATTCAATTTCATTTTAGAAAGCTTGAAGGCATCAGACTGTTACAGAGATAAAAGAGCCAAGTATTAATCTTTTGAGTTAGTATGTTATTCAAGCTGTTGAACCTGTAAGAGTTTGCAGGACTCTTAATTCATTTTAAAACTAAAGACAAAGGGAAAAAAAGAGAGTGAGGCAATGTAGTGATAATTTCTTTTTTGATTATTGCTAATGATTGTAATTCATGACCAGAACTGCTTATTTATTTTATTACTTTATGCCCTTTATGAAAGTAAGATGGGTAGAAAGAATAAAATATGATTTTAGTTTTCTCCCCATCTTCTTTGCTTCAGTACTCTATTTGTCCATCAGTTTCATATTGGCTTACACAGGCCAGAATTATATTTTAGCTTTATGGGCAGAGTGTGAAAACAGGGTTTGAGGTGTATCAAAAACCAATTTTGATGTGACAGAACAGTGTGCCACAAAACAAAGTTGTTATACTTCTTTCTCTTCTGTCTGCCCTATGTGGACCTAGCATGAGTGAGGTGATGATTTAGTGCAGAATTCTTGATATTTCACCAGGAGCCCTACTGAGCAAGCTTGCTTTGGCTTCTCACAGGATCACAGAAGACAGTATGAAGGATGACTCTGAAAGGAGAACAGTCAGGGACCTAGAAACCAGTCACAACCTCCTAATTTCCTCCAAGGCCTTAGGGCACTCTGTTGAAATGTTTAAGTAACAAGGGATAGTAAGGCTTTCAATGTTACACAAAATTTAGTACACAGGGAGAAAAAGTAAATTGAAAGAACTCAATAATTATTAGAGGATCAAGTCTATTATATGTCATTAAATGATTACCTTGATGCCCATTTTATCTAGATTTCCATTGTTTTACTTTTCTATAGGCCTTTGTACATGAACAAATCTCTCTTGGTTTATATCCAAAAGATGAATTTATTAACATTTTTATGTTTGCTTTTCTTCTCCCTGAAGAATAGTCAAATGGGGAAGCTATTATAAGTTAGGGTGACCATAAAATTTACTATCCAAACCAGAGCACTTTTGAGAATGAAAGGAGGTGCTATTATTAATAGACTAAAATAATTATGCTGTTAATCAGTAGTCAACAGGGTGTATCTCTTTGCAAAATGCAATATATGGTCATCCTAACTACAAGTCATTTAATTACTGTTATTTGGTTGCCATCTATTCAATAGTTTTCATAGAAACATATCTGAAAAATATGTGAGGCCATGTACTTAAAAAATTGCCTGGAATTTATGGAATTAGAGTAGGGCTCAGAAACAGTGATTCTGTCCCTTATGACTAAAACAAGACAGAGAGAAGAAGATACACAGAAGCCCTCCAAAGTTAAAAGATCCTTTTCTGAGGTCATTATTTCCCTTCCAGATCTCTTGAGCTTATCAACCTACTAGAGGCCCAATGCATGAAATTCCTGCAAGAAGCTCAGCCCTTGCAGCCCAGCTTCATCTGGAAGGTCGTCCAGATGGTTGTTCTGCTATTTGGTCTAATGAGCATATTAGCTTTTGAGTATATAAGATACTCCACAAGGCTCAGAACCTTATATTCCCATTGTAGCTGACTGAGCTCAGAATTTGTTCATAGCTCTCTTGGGCTATAGCAAACATCTTCTAACTGATCTCCCTGCTTTCTTTCTTTCCACATGTCAAATCCTTTGTCTCTATCACAGCCAGACTGGTTTACCTAAAATGTAAAGCTCTGTTGGGAAACATGAGACTAGGTTGGATAGTTGTAAGGAGGGCATTCTTAGAAAAGGGAAGTGTGTAGAAGGCGCCTGCCCTGTTTATCGGCATTCCGACTTAGAGGAGACTTAGGGGAGTGTCAAAGGCAATGCCCCTATTTATTCCTTGACCTTTCCAAACAAGCCTGTGCATGTGCAGATCCTTGGTGTTTACTGGAATCCTTATGCTTAATCCCTGGATGCCCTTGCCTAGAGGACAATGTAAACATATGTCCTCCCAAGATTGCTCACCCTGCTGATTGCATCCAAAGATAAAAATTCCAATAAAGGCCTAACAAAGCAGGCAATCCAGGCTGCCCTGGCTACTAAAGCCAGAGGCCTCTTAACCTTCTCTTGCACTAACTGTGTCAGAGTAATATGTTCATCAGTCATTCTGGGGCTGCTGGTCAGCCCGATAAAGCTGACCACGTCACTCTCTTTCTCTAAATCATTTAGTAGCTTCCCTGTAGTGCAGCACACAAGGCCCTCCATACATTCATTCCTGTGCACTTCTTCAGCATCACTACTTGGCAATAACCCATTGTTTCTACTTCTCCAAACACAGTATGGCATCTTTTGGTTTACCTTTAATTCATCCTTGAATCTAGGCAAACTAGGCAAATGATTTCTAGGAGGAAGGATGGTGTGAGGCTGAGTCCATCAATTTTTATCACTATTTTTTTTTATTTATATGCAACAGAGGTGACTGTTCTATGAATTTTGACAAATGTACAGACTTAGGTAGCTACTAGCACTATATTCCAGATATGGATCAGTTTCATTGCTACTCCTCCCCCTTCTTCCCTCCCCCCCAGATCTTTTGCTTGTTACCTTTGTAGTCAGAGCCTATTCCCTGGCAACCACTAACTGTTCTATACTCTAAGTTTTGCCTTTTATAGAATAGCGTGCAAAAGGAATCACACATTATATGTGTATCATTCAGTGTAATGATTTTGAGACTCATCTGATTTGTGGCAGTTTCAGAAGTTCATTTTCTTTCAATGTTGAGTAGTGTTCCATTGTACAGATGTACCAGTCTGTTTAGCCACTCCCCTGGTGAGAGACTTTGGGTTGTTTTCAGGTTTGGGTAATCTTGAATAAACATTCTCTTATAGATTTTATTGTGAACATAGGTTTTCATAAGGCCAAGAGTGGGATTGCTCTTATGTATAGACAATGTATGTTTATAAGGAAACTAGCCCTGACTGGTTTGGCTCAGTGGATAGAGTGTTGGCCTGCGGAATGAAGGGTTGCGAGTTTGATTCCAATCAAGGGAATGTACCTTGGTTGTGGGCATATCACAGTAGTTGCTGTGCAGGAAGCAGCTGATCGGTGTTTCTCATCGATGCTTCTAACTCTCTATCCCTCTCTCTTCTTCTCTGTAAAAAATCAATAAAAGATAAAAAAAGAAAACTGCCAAGCTGTTCTACTGTGGTTGTGCTGTTGTGCATTCCCACCAGCAATGCATGAGGGTTTCGGATTCCTCACATCTTCAGGAACATTTGTTATGGTCAGTCTTTAATGTTAGCCATTCTAACCATTGTATAGAGGTAGCTCATTATAGTTTTAAATTGCATTTTCATAATGACTATGTCAAGCATCTTTTCATATGCTTTTATATCTGTCTACCTTTGATAAAGTGCCTGTTCAAATCTTTTGCTAATTTCTTTGTTGAGGTTTTAGTTTCCTTATTAAGTTTTTAGAGTTCTTTATCTATTTTTTAATAAAATTTCTTTATGAGAAATACAGTTTTAAATATTTTCTTTTATTCAGTGGCTTTTCTATTTTCTTACTAGTATCTTTTGCAGAGAAAACATTTTAAATTTTGATTAAGTTCAGTTTATGTTTTTTTTTCTTTTATGCATTATGCTTTTGCTGTCATATCTAAAAATTATTTGATTAACCCAAGGTGTATTCGTTTGCTAGGGCTACCATGAAAAAATATTACATAATGAAAAGGAAAACTGGGGAGAAGGCTTACAACCTAGTTCAGTATCTGGTTAAGACTGTAGGCTTGCCGAAACCGGTTTGACTCAGTGGATAGAGCATCGGAATGCGGACTGAAGGGTCCCAGGTTCAATTCCAGTCAAGGGCATGTACCTTGGTTGCAGGCACATCCCCAGTAGGGGGCGTGCAAGAGGCAGCTGATCTATGATTCTCTCTCATCGATGTTTCTATCTCTTTATCCCTCTCTCTTCCTCTCTGTAAAAAATCAATAAAATATATATATTTTTAAAAAGACTGTAGTCTTACTCCCCATTCTGACTGACATGGGCAGAGCTGCAGGGACCTGCCACAGAGGGAGATATAGAGGCCAGAGCCTCCCCATGATTTCAGTTCAGGCTTTGGATCTGGAATTTCCCTGGACTAGCAGACCTGCAAAATAAAGGTTAAACTTTCCTCCCTCAGAGTGCTGGAGAATCTTTCTCCCTTGCGTTCTGCCACAACATTACTAAGTGGCTTAAACAACAGAAATTGATTTTCTCACAACTCTGGAAGCTAAAAGCCCAAGATGAAGATTTGGTCTCTTCTGAGGCATCTCTCCTAACCTTAAAGATGAGGCTGTCTCACTGTGTCCACACATGTTTTTCCCTTGTGCGCACACATGTCCCTATTCTAATCTCTTGTTATTCTTATAAGGACACCCGTTATATTAGATTATGGCACAGCCAAATGACCTCATTTTATCTTAATTTCTTCTTTAAAGATTTTGTCTCCAAATACAGTCACATTTTGAAGTGCTGGGGATTAAGACTTCAGCATATGATTTGGTGGGTGGGGATGAATAATTTATTTCATAAAACAAGGTCACAGATTTTTCTATGCTTTCTGCTAAATGTAAATTATTTCAATAGAGGGAATTGTAAAGTTATTTGGTGAAAACCGAGACTGCTTTGCTCAATGCTGTACTTCCAATGCCTAATATAATCCTTGACATCTTAAATCGCTTACCAAAACTTGTTGAATGAATGTGAATCACATTCACTATTCTGTGGATGAAAAGGGGCCACCTGCTAATCTGACCAGCTCATGAAAAGCCTGTGTGGTGGCCTTGCAAATTCAGAGATCTAAACTAACCACAAAGATGGTCTGAAATAAAAACTATTTTAAACTAAAAGCAGTTTATGGTGGGTAGTTATGTCCTAGGCTAGTATCTTCCCTGACAATCTTTACCTTTACTGAGCTTATCTATTGTCTTTTGCATCTAAGATAACATTCCTTTGAAAAACCTGGGTAAGTTCCCTTTTACCAGATCCTACTGGACACAACCAGAGCAGAGACCATAATTCCTCTCATTGTTTTATCATGTTAATTGTTGACTGTTAACTATCCTGCACCAGTCTCTGTAAAAGATTTATGTGCCTATCATTTTACTTTTTATCCAAACCCAGAGGTTCCTCCTTCCCTTTGCTTCCCCCTCTTTGCTTTCTCTTGCCTCCTTAATCTATCATTCACTTATTTCCCCTCATTTGATTGTAATGTGTAAGATGCAAAACCACTATTCTTTCAGTCCCTTGAGCTTCTGCTTCTGACATTTGTTGAGAGTTTGGCTCAAATAAACTCACAAAATTCTTCATAGTTTTGAATGTTTCTTAGGTTAACAACTAGAGGCCCACTGCACAAAATTCATGCAAGGGTGTGTGTGTCCCTCAGCCCAGCCTGCATGCTATCCAATCTGGGACCACCTGGGATCTTGCCTAAATGGGCAGATGGACATTTCTTTCACTCCAGGACTGCTGGCTCCCAACTGTTCACCTGCCTGATTGCCCCTAACTGCTTCTGCCTGCCAGCCTGATCACCCCTAATCACTTCCCTACCAGCCTGATCGACTCTAACTGCTATCCTGCCATCCTGATTGCCCCTAACTGCCCTCCCCTGCCAGCCTGGTCATCCCTCAATGTCCTCCACTATAGGTCTGGTCACCCCCAACTCCCCTCCCCTGCTGGCATGGTCACCCCTCAGTGCCCTCCCTTGCCAGCCTTGTCACTCCCAACTGCCCTCCCCTGTAGGCCTGGTCCCTCCCAACTGCCTTCCCCTGTTGGCCTGATCACCCAAGACTGCCCTCCCCTGCCAGCCATCTTGGGGCAGCTATCTTGTGTCCACATGAGGGCTACCAACATGAGGGTGGCCATCTTGCATGTTGGAGTGATGGTCAATTTGCATATTACCTCTTTATTATATAGGTTTCTACTCATGCTTCTTGAATCTCAGAGAATAATTATAGCTTTCTTGATGAAGAATTAGTATGGTATTTATCAGATCCAAATTATTCCCTAAAAACCTACTAATAACCATTCAAAATTGACCAGATAGTAATATCTACTAAAAACAAAAATGAGACTACACTAAAACTCAGAAATTTTGTTCCTAGGCATATACCCTACAGATTAGTGCATATGTTCACCAAAAGACACATATAAAAATGTTCATAGAAACAGCATTCATAAAAGACAAAAGTCGATGTGTCTAAAATGTTCATCAATAATAAAATTAATACATTCTCACATAATAAAACAATGGAAAACTATACAACACTGACAAGGAACATATTACTTATAAATGTAACAACATAAATATGTCACAAACCAAAATATTGAGCAAGAGATGTTAGACAAAAAGAATATATACTCTATTTTATTACCTAATTTATATAAAAGTCAAAATCCAGCAAAACTTACCTATGGTGATAGAACTCTTGACAATTAACTTTAGGGAAGAGGGTATTGGGAAGAAAGATGAGGAGGTCTCTTGAAGTTTGTAATGTTTCATTCATGTGGTAGTGGGCACATAGGTACATTCACTGTAAAATATCATGACTTATGATTTGTGCTTACTTTAAAAAATTACTGCCTATGGGCATAGCCTTGCTATTTCTATATAAACTATAGGAAATCTTGGGAAGGTATTTTACTAGGCTTTATTGAAAAATACAGCAAAATAAAATATAGATTATTTTTCTATTTTAAAATATTAGCTACTTCTTTTCCCCTTCTAACATTTCTACATGACTTCATTATCGAAATTCTTTAGCTGTGTGAAGAGAAAGTCTGAGAAAGAAACAACACAAAAAGGAAAATTCTTTTTGCTGAAGTCTTAAGGAACTAGAATCAGAAAAAGCTTACATGGTTTTATCCGTTGACTGCCCATAGTATGGTTACAAATGGCACTTCTGGTCCTTAGGTAAAGTTGAATTTGTCATACCAGCTGCTTTTCTATTAGTAGCCAAGGCATTGAACCAAGTGCTTCTTCAATGTTAAGTGTTGCTC